TCTTTGTTGAGTATTTATTGTAGAGAATAAAATTGCAACCATTTAATTTTTTAACGGTAAAAATATAGTTGCTATACATAAATACAATGACTGGTCCTCCAGTATATCCAATGTCGCCAATAGTTCCGTAATTAGTATCTTTTCTATATATATTTTGGTCTCCCGATGCCATAAAAACATTAGCGAAATCTTTAGTACCGTATGTGATATTTACTTTACAATTTCTATCATCAACGGCGTGTTGAGGACACTGACAAGTCAATTGGTGTTCTATTGAATCATAAAAAGCATAGTATCTTGTATATCCATTTACACAATTAATTGAGACGATTTCACCATCATCCGATTTTTGTGTTGTTATTTCACTTGAATTGGACGAGAACAAATACCCGACATATGGCCTTGTAGGTGATGTTATCAAATGGAAAGATCCTTTTAAAAAGAGATAGTTGTTTGTCTCTGGAAGTTCGAGTCCTACAACGTTTAAATACAAATATAGTGGTATTTTGTTTGAGTTAACATTAATAATTTCACTTGGTAGTGTTAATGAACTTAGAAATAGTCTTCTTATAGATACTGTGGGATTACTATCCAATTCTATTATAAGTGAAGGCTTTACGTTGAGAATGGTATATGTATACGAACTATTTGTATTTGATTTTATAGTCAAATGAGTGACTGAACAAGTGACTGTGGTTGTACCAAGTGTCAAGTGATAATTAAAATCGTTTAAAACTACTGTTGAAAAAATATAATCTGTTAAAATTAAAGTTTTTTGAGAAGTTTCTGAATCGAATGATGCTCCACTATGATATACACAAGTAAAACTGCTTTCAGAAAATACACCATTGTCGTCGTCACAATAATAAGCAAAAGTGTGAACCAATAATATGAACAAAAACATTATTTGGGGTTTTTAGTTTATTGTTTTTTTTCTACAAAACTAAAAAAAACATGTTAATAGAATTTAATAATGAAATTATAATTTATAATTTACTATAGTTTTATTTTTTATTTATTAAATATTAAAATTTAAAAATTATTGAATTTCAGGGGTATACTTTTTTTATTTTTATAACTAAAATATACAGACTTGGTACTAAGGTTTCGACCAGGACCATGGTTTCGACTAAAATTAATAATATTTATACCATTATTAAAACTAATATTGAAATTTGTAATTTGGACTGTTTTTTAAAAATAGATATAGAAACTAGTTCATTACTATTTAAATAGTATTTAAATAATAAGTCGAAACTTTGGTACTCATCTAAATTTTAGTTTCACATTTGTAATTTTACTGTATCTCCTAGTTATAGTGTGGTAGAATACTTAAAAATATAAAATATTTAATAGTATATATATAATATTACATATTATTTGTTATATTACAGAGTACTTTTGGTATATCAATGTTAAACAAAAAAAATTTTCAATCTTTTTTCTAGAAATTACTAACGTATTAAACTAATACAAAATCACTCAGTATTTACATTGTCCACTCCCCAAACGTTGTTTTTTAGTGTTATATTTTTAGAATTATAGAAAGTTCCCACAATAAACGAAATTATAGGCAAAAAACAATAACTTTTACCATTAATACTTAATTTTTTTTAGCAATTCTCGTTTTAAAATAATTTCAAAGAGAAAAAAAGAAATAACAGGATTAGAGCTGCTTTAAAACCAAAAAACTTCAAACCTAATAATACCACATTTTGGTAATAATTAAATTTTATTGTTTATTATTTGTCATTAACATAAACAAAATAATTTGTTTTTGCTATCAATTATTTTTTTGTCAAGTACTTATTATGCTTCTTCTATGTTAATGCTTATATAAATATATAAATTAGTTTATTTAAATATATGGTTAAACTATTACCCATTAATTATGACAAGTTATATTAGTATATTATCGTTTGTTTC